TCTAGAAAAGACACTTATTTGACAGTGTAGCCAATTATCCAATAGAGGTTAAAGTACTTAATTTACAATTCCACTTAACTGAAGTACAAAAGAAAAAATACTTGAGTGTTACAGTTCACATGATTTAATCGTCTGTGAAAACATATTTTACTGTTACACTACAGATGGACTTCCAACCAGGGGGTTGGGCTCCAAATTATAACTGTACAAAGTACAAATAAGTTAAACCTGTGAGTAGCCAACATCGTTGGAAGTGATTTTGCTTTATTACCTTAAATCGTTGTGATTTCCGATAGTGAACCTTTGTCATAACTCTGTCTTTCTGTAGGTGACAGGATTTTAGTTGGTTACACGCAGTAAAACACTGCAACTAAAAGCCAACAATCACAGACACAGGTCAATAACAGAGATTGTGACTCACTATGATGTCGCCAGCTTTCACAAACTGAAGGCGGGGCTGCCAAATGACAATGTCAATCACATTCATTAGGTCACTGAGAACATCAAAAAATATCCAGAAAGGGTTAGTAGTTTGGTTATTGTAAGGGAACGCCAGCCGGACCGGGCAAAACCAAATGTTGTAATTGTACGCCACGGCTACCACAGTCAACCAGGCGATGTAGCGGCGATCTGGAGACAGAACACAGAACAGTTTTTCTTTTTACTTTCATTCGGACTTAGCCGTCAGGTCGTCTGTGTGCACCTCACCTACCTGTGAAAGGATCTATGGTGGTTCCTAAAATCGAGTCCATCTTGTACTCGATCGGCTGGAAGAGGACGTCAAAGCAGGAGCAGCTGATTTCCGGGAGGAACCTTGCTTTCTTCCTGGCCTCTTCCGCCAGCCTCTCCTCCTCAGCTTTCTTCTCAGCCTCCAGCCTCTTCTCCTCATCCTTCTTCTTCTTCTCCTCCGCCTTTTTAGCTGCCTCCTCTGCCTTCTTTTTATCCGCTTCTTCTTTCGCTATCCGCTCCTCCTCCTTCAACCTGATGTAGTCCTCCTTCTTCAGGATAGGTGCTAAACAAGTAAAGGGAGTGATGGTGGGTTAAGTGGCCCCTTCTCCATGTCTATGAGCTTCTATCCAGTCTCAACGTTTTTGTTTGTTGTTGGATATTTTCTGTACTTACTGACAGGTGGGGTGATTTCTGGAGAAGTGGCATAAGGATCTATGGCTTTCTCTCTGAGCATCTCTGTCCGTGCTCTTAACCTTTTGATCAAATCTCGGAGTGTGTCATCTGTGAAGCGGTTGTAGACAACAGGTGGAGGAGGAGGTTCAGCTTGTTCACTGAAAATATAAAAAGCAAAAAGCAAATAATATTTATGTCATGGCAACAACATTCATAGAATCCCTTCCACGTTAGCCTTTAGATGTCTTCAAGGTAATAGTGTTCATTTCCTTGATGTCAGCTTTTATTTTAAAAAGTGACCTTGGGTCTGAAGATTGTGTTGATTACTTAACAGACCTCTGACATATTATAGAAGTGTCTGAGGAGGAGTCACTAATGACAAGGAAACATCGTGAAGTAGCTCAGGAGCGTTAACACAGGAGAAGCTAACAGCCCATTCAAACAGGCAGGTTTGGAAATTGGACAGTTCCTTCTTGTGTGGCAGTGTCATGTTATTATCCTGCTGTTACAGAATAACAAGCAGCTCTGCGTTTTATTAGCAAGACTTTTCAGTTTTTGGAAAAAGGATTTTTTCATTTTAGTGAGAAATAAAATCCCTGTTGTGAGATACAGACCTGCAAATTTCAATTATTGCCTAAAAAGTTACATAAGTGGTCTGCAAAGACCAAAACAAATTGTTTTATAAATTCTTCTCACTGATCACTCCCAGTCACAAATACCACTAAGCTCCCATAAGCTCCTTTTCTACTTTGGGAGTCACAGGCTGTAAGTCACCGTGTGGTCATGGCTGCTGTTACTGCAGCAAACACTCACACACACACTGTGCTTATTGTGAGGAAACATGAAAGTGGAGGTGGAGGTGGAGCAGATCGAAAACTGTCCATCTGTGTCATCATTTCAAACACTTGTGCACAATGTATGGAGATTAACCTGTAACAGCTCATGGTAACTGGCTGAAGCTGATTCTAAAACCTGGATAATAGGGACACAATGGTTTCCTGTGACAGACCGAGATCAAGCTGCAGTGGTCTTTTGACACCATATGGGCCCTGTACTGACCTGGGATCCTCAGCGAAGGCCCTTCTAGCCCTGATCTTTTCTATCCCTGAGGAGATCCGTTTAGAAAACTCTTCATCCTATTTTATAGGTGTGCTTTCTTCAATTCTGATCTTACTAACAATCTCAACTATATTGATCATTTTATTATCTAATTTTATCTTGTTTTGAATGTTTTCTCTTTTCCTCTTTTATTTCTGTATCTCTGCACTAATTTTGCATGATCTTCAAATTGCTTTGAAATTGTTTCCTTTGTTTGCCTTAAATTTATAATTTATCTATTGAGGTAAAAGTTCTATCGTCACCTCATCTAAATCAGTGCCATGGTGGTGAAACCTATATAATACTGGTCCCCCTTCCTTCCATACATTAACAATTAATCACTGACGAGCATTTGCAAAACCTTGTTTCACAACTACAGCTGCTTCCAAAGTGAACTCAAAAAACAAACACCAGTGCATCAGAATCCATCCCATTGTTTGTAAAATTAGATGCTGGCCGGTCATTGCCTTCAAAATTCGGTTGCATTTTTGCAAACACAGATGTGAGAAGCTGCTTCATTGGTGAACTCACCAAGAACAATGAGTGAAGGGATAATAAACAAATTTCACTGTGCAAAATGTGAAATGAATGTTGGCTCCAGTGACTCCAGCCACATCAATCAGGTCTGTGAAGCATGTTCCACGGTTGGTTGGGGGAGGCAGACCCCACCCGAGATTATATTGTGTGAGGTACACAACATATATGATGTATTCTTACCCCTCAACACCCTCTGGATTGGCAGGATCGGCAGGAGGAGCAGCAGCAGCAGCAGGAGCAGGAGCAGGAGCAGCAGCAGGAGCAGCAGCAGCAGCAGCAGGAGGAGCAGGAGCAGCAGGAGCTGGAGCTGGAGCAGCTGTAAATGAAAACAGAATGTGTCATGCATTTTCTGAAAAATTTACAAAATAAAAGGTGTCGTCAGCAGCTGATCAGACAAAGACCAGTCAGAATTGACTCTGCAATAATAAAATCAGTCCAATTGTGAAAGACAGTTGCTGCCAAAAGATGACTGTTAAGTTACGTCAAAATTAACCCCCACAGTCGAGAAGGGAATTTTAGTTTTGAGCAGCTAAGCAGCAGAAAGTTGGTGGTTCGATCCTGTTTCTCCAGTCTGGTGTCCTTGGGCAAGATAGTGTGTTAAACCCAAACTGCCCTTGACGACTGTGTGCAGGCAGTGAACAGTGTCATAGAAAAAAAGTGCTGCTGTACAAATATGTGTTTTAATTCACTGCTGCCTGTTCTTTTGCTGATATGATCAGCCAGTGAAGTGTTAGTGGGAGAATTAGGAAACAATGACACTGGTCAACGTGTGTTAAAAGGTTAATGTAACACAAACATGTGGTAATTATTAACATGACATTATTGTTGGTTTAACACTGAACAAGCTCTGAATACTTTTTCACCTGGCTTTGGCTCCTCCTCTTTCTTTGCTTCTTTTTGCTCCTCTTCTTTTTTGTCCTCTTTCTTTTCTTCTTCTTTCTTTTCTTCCTCTTCCTTTGGCTGCTCCTTTTCATCCTTCTTTTCGGGAGGTTTTTCTTCCTGTAAACACGCAACACTGGTAAAACACCTTAAAACAATCTTAAAACAAATATAGGACAAAGCTCAACCTTAGATGATGAGACTCATTTATTTTGGTTCATGTGAAGAATTTATTAAAAAATGCTTAAGTCAAAAAATACAACTGTAATAAATCCAAATTCAATTTTTTTTATAGCTGCTAATTCACCAAATGACCCTCACAATTCATCCTTACTATCCTCCCCCTCAACGTTAGGAGAGATCCTGCAGTTTATTTAAAAACAACAGTAATTCCAGCCCTGCAGATTCCCCCTCCCTGCTGGTGCTTCATCTTCTCCACATCAGTGCCAAGCTGCTTCAGAGGCTTTCACCGATCTCAGTCACCTGCCTTGGTTCTCCTTAATATAACCTTTATGAACCCGTGTGCCAAGCAGGTGGCAAGAGGCTGATTGGTTTGATATTTAATAATGGAGCATGTATGAAGGCTGTTTATAGAGTCGACAATATTTTTTAATTACACCCTTTATATTTTCAATTTAATTCACTTTGGTTAATAAAGGTTCCTCTGGGCTCAGCATGAGGCCCACTACTCTTTATTTTGTACATTAATTATATAACGTTAGAATACAGAGGTAAAGAAGTGAACACGTTTTTAATACCGGTTTGATTTCAACTATCACTGAAGTCAGATCAAATAGCATCTTGCCACACATACTCATGTCTGAAATCTAATTTAAAGTGATTACTGATAATGAACTAAAACAGAAGCAACATGTAAATTATATCGAAGCTAAACTGTATAAAGTGAATTTTTTTTCCAAATCAAACTTCATTATATATTGTTCCCATATAATTCTACACATAAGTTACTGTGTACATGTTAAGGTAATAAATATAAAACAAATCATAATGTTCATGCTTAAACATAAGAACTGTCCACAAAATGTGTTTAACTCACTCTTTATTGAATAAAAGGCTCAAATTAAGCTCAAACCATTCAAAGTTATTTTTAGATCAGTTATTTTAATTTAATTCTAATCAACACATTTTTATCGTGTAACTTTTATTCTGGATGGGAGTAAAAGAAACACACAACTTTTAATACAACATAATTTTACTGTTTCATTTACTTTGTATATTTGAGGTATCAGAAGGAAAGCAGGGCCTTACCTTAGCTGGTGGAGCCGAGGCCGGAGGAACCGGGGCAGGGGGCGGCTCTGGAGCCCCTATAAGTCTTTTCAACCTGCTGAACATGGTGCGCGTCTGTGTGGTGCTAAAGCGAACAGGCCGACCTGCAAACTTCTTGCTGTTACCACGAAGTGTTCGAACACCAGACTGAGGCAATTAAATTTCTTAGAATCATTAATTCCCTCTGGGCACTCCTCTTCGTCCTGGAGTCAACAGCAGATCAGCCACAGTATCTCAGCTGCCAATCACCACCAGGCAACACAACTGTAGGGCTGACTCCAGTCCAGAACAAGGAACATTTAGGGGGCCTGATTACTGGACAATTTGTTGTATAAAATGATTTATAATGTTAATAAAAAATTATATTAAAAATGAATGAAATTACAAAAAATATATTTGCCGGTAAAAGTGTGTTTACTAGTTATTAATTCTGCCATTAAGCTTTATGAAACAATTTTTTTTCATTCATGGTTTATTGACAGAATGAGCAGTGAATGTGGTGATGAAGGTGGGAACAGAATCTCAGTAGTCTGTGTAAAATTAGACCGTACGTAGATTATTTCAGTCCCTCCCGGCTGCAGACTTCACAAACACAACCACTTAGTTAATTAGTCCCTGCAACGTCCCCGTCTGGCTAACAGGATTAGACCTGAACGCACAGAGAGACACAGACGCACAACTAACACAACTAACACAACCGGCGAAAAGGGAAGGAATGATCATTCTGGGAGGGAACTGTTGTAAAGTAGCAGGGTCATTTATTGAAGCAGATACAGACAGGGATCAGTATGAGCAAAATGAATCAAAGTATTTAGAATGAAGGGTGCTCTGCTTAGCTTTTCATTTAACTACTGTGATTACAAAGCCAATAAATGCTCATAAACAAAAATATATATTCCTTTAGTATATGTGGCAGTATCCACTAGGGGCAGCAGTCTTTGGATTCAAAATTAGCATATATATCTCAACATATGTAAAATGAACTTTTTGTTTAAATGTATTTTCTGTGTGATTTGTATTGTAATAATTCGTCGGACTATCCTGATATAGTCTTATGTGGCATTTACAATTTTCTTTTCCAAAAATGTGACTTACTCTGAATGTGCTACAACAGAAAAAGATACTCAGTAAAAAAGTAAGATATTGAAAATAAAGCTGTACATTCACTCTCAAAAAAGAGAAAATAAGAAACGGAAATAAGTGTGTGTTCACTTTCCACCAGAAGCAGCCTGAAACACAGAGGAAACCAAACCAAAAGGAATTACTTGTTATGTTAAATAAATTCCCATAATCACATGTAGCTGCTTTGATTTGGCAGGAAAAGATAAATGAAGTGTTGTTACCTTCATCCTTTCGATGATATTTCTGTTGAACGTTCCTCCGACAGCTCGCAGCAGTTTGGGCGTTGCTGGTTTGGGTCCAAACAGAGCCAGTCCCTTCTTCTTCTCCTCCTCTGCCTTCGCTGCTGCAGGACCCTTGGCCTTCATTAGCTTCCTACACTCACACAACACACACACACACACACATTGTGACCAAAATGTCTTCTGATACTATATGAACTGCAAAACCTAATGAGCAGAGACAATTAAAATAAATAAATGTCTCATAACCATTAGAAAACTAGAATGGCACTCAGTGGAGAGCATGACTACTACTTAAAAAAATCCTGCACATTTTCTAGTTAAGAAATATAAAAAAGAACAGGAAGTGGTCTGAAAACCTAAATGATTGATTTGTCATCACATGTTGCTAAAGAAACTTAAAACTTGAATTGGTTCTCCACACACCCAATCCTTCCACCATGTTTGGAATAGATCGGTTAAGTAGTTTTTTTAGTAATTCTGTGAAAAAAAATAAACAAACACGAAGGGCAATCGAAGAGCAGATACCTCTACCAATGATTGGCCACTGAATTGAGATCATATACATCTGGATCATTACCCGGATCTGCAGCAAATTTTTATTTGTTCATAGTAATTAACTTTCAATATGCATCTGATTTTTCATTATTTCTTCAATCTCACAATGTTTAAGAAAATTTTAAAAATCCTCTATCTAGCTCCTTAATCAAATCCACTCCAAAAGTTAATTAGTGTCGAGTGAGACTTTTACTTTACTTGTGTCCCTATTTCAAAAATAAAGATCAACTGATAATGAAATAAATGAATACCAAAAACACCTGTAATAACAGAGGATAAAAACCGACTCACCTTCCCTTCCTGGCGAGAACCTTCTGAGACTCGGGGTAGTGGACGAGGATGTCAAACAGGTCCTTCTTCTCCAGGACAAAGAGGTTAGCGAAGCCGTACGCTTTGACATTAGCTGTGCGCCTGTTTCCTCCATCTTTGGAAGACTGCAACAGGCTGAGACGAGAAAATACATCAATAAATCATCACTGAATTTTTTTTCTTGGTGTCGAAGTGATTCGTAATGAATAATCTCCTCATCATGTTAAACATCACTGTTGATGTTTATCACAATGTTTAAAACAAAGTATGGACCACATCTGACCTGATTTCTCCGAACACACAGCCGGCCTTCAGTGTGACAAACACAATGCTGTTGTCAGGTCCTCCCACCACCTGCACCGCTCCTCCTTTGATGATGTACATCTCTTTACCAATGTCACCCTGCACAGGCAGAAGAAGAAACCAGGATTTTAACAAACAAGCAATAACCCAAAATAAGATAATGAACCCAAATCTGAGCATAGGAAGTCATCTCTAAGAGTGATTCAATAACTTCACAACTATATTTCTAGTCATTTCTATCCACACTCACTTTCTTCACCACAAAGTCTCCAGGGAGGTAAATGATTGACTTGAGCCTCAGCAACATGTCCACCAACATCTGCTGGTCACAGCCCTGAGGGAAAAAACACATCTGACATGACGTCCAACCTGCAAACACACTGCTTCAATATGTTTCAGTGTCTTTTCATGTGGCTGTACCTTGAAAAGATCAATCTTCTGAAAGGTGGCCAGGTTGATGTCCACGGCGATGGCGGTTCTCATCACCAGAGGCATTTTGTCCAGCAGCTCTGACTCATCTGAAAGGAGGAAGATGACACAGAAAGAGTTTAATCTGAGGCCAATCTGGGCGTCACATGAGTCTGGAGCCACGGGAGGGGAAGCAGATCCATGTTTTGATAACTACTCCACCAACCAAGCGCAGTTTCAGTGTTCACAAGAATGAGACAGATGAAGGGATAGACATACCAAAGTATGCACAACCCAGAAACATAATACCTTTGGCCACTGGCTGAGGTTTGTCATTAAAGACATTGTGACTTTTTAGAAAAAACAAACTGAACGCTTTGTTGATTGTGTACTGACCCAGCATGCCCTGAGCGTCCCAGGTGTACGTGTACCAGGTGCGGACTCTGTTCTGCACCATCGATGGGATGCGGTTGCTCACCATGTAGTCCACTGTGTTGTCCATGGAGGCTCGGAAGTATGTCTGACCGGCTGTGGCTGCACCTATGACATCTCTCATCTGAAGTGAGAAGGCGGAAACAACAAATATATGAACAGAGGAAGACCTCTGTGGAACTGGATTAATGAATAACAAACATTTTGATAGTAAGACTCCACAGGAAACCATTACAGAAAACAACGGATGGTGAGGTGTTAGTGTTACGACTAATGATCATCGACATTTCTACCACGACAGGTTTCCTTCATCTATCACTACATCACCATAGTAACGAGACAAATGGAAGAGGAGACGAAGACGAGCTGATTTAGTGACGCTCGTTTCTACCAGGGTTTCAGACGAACTGAGGACGCTGTGATGAGTCATGCTACGGACAAAGTGTGTCTCTATGTTACCTGTCCGATCAGACTGGAGAACACAAAGACGCCCGTGAAAAAGTTAGTCATCTGAAAGGTAATCTCAAAGACGGTGTGGGGCTCGTTAAGACCCCCGATGTTGATCAGACTGCGGACAGCGTGGTAGTAACAACGCAGGTACCTGTGGAGAGGGGGGGGGTGGAGGTGTTAGACGGGTCATCACAAACTACGCTCAGTGTCACTGGCCCGACGAAGAAACAAGAGTGTGTGTGTGCGTGCATGAGATTCGAAGGGAGCTCGGCCTTCAAGAGCTCTGCACATTTTCTATTGTTAGTTTTCAGATTTTTTCCACGTTTAATTCTCTTGATGTCTTTGCTGCCAAATTTTCAAGACACCTACAGTTGCTTAGGTTTCTTGAAAGAAATTTAAAATTATTACGACGATTAGATGAAAATCCCCCCAAAAAAAGAAAGAAAGAAAAGAAAAACGTTATATATGCCAAAACATGACCAAATAATTATTAAAAATGAAAAACATTACAAAGAAACTACCTGGCCAAGAATGATGGACATAAAGAATGCCCCAAAAAGGTAGTTAGTCATCTGAAAGATCTGTCCGAACATGGTGTCTGGAAATGGCAGCTCAGCAATCATCAGCAGGGACTTCTCAGCATAGAAGAAGCAGCTGAGGTAACTGCAGCGGCAGCAAAGACGGAACATACAACACGTGTCACTTTCTCTGAGATCCCTCAGTGATGGAGGTTTTATAAACTGCAACTAAAAACTCTGTTACTGTGCAACCAACTCTGAAGTTACTCTCATAAGGTCTGTGTTGTATATAATGTCAAGTCCTCTAATGCACAGTTTCAAGAGGAAACAGATACATCAAAACAAACCTGAGGCCATGTGGCTGTAGAGTAATCTTAAAATAATTACATCACTACATGTAAAAGTTAATGTTTTTTTGTCAAAAAACAAGTTTATTAAAGCCTGTTTGGATTAGCTGATTCTGTGGTTGCCTGAGGAAGGTCCTCCACAATTTGTGTTTTAAATAGCATCACTGACCCATGCAAGACCCAGAATCCTAGGAAATTTGAACAACTTACTTGATGAGGCACATCATCAAACCCCTCATCTTTTTAGTTCTGTCCAACTCAGTTTTTTGAATTGAATGTAAATGGGAAATTTACTTATGTTTATTTTATATTTATTTTTTACTGACAGGTGATTTCTGTACATTACTATTACTAGTGTTCATTATGCAGGGAAGACAAACTAGTCCCATACAGTCAAACACAAGCAGGAAGACAGATGCAGTGTACTCACGCGCTGCCGAGGCCGGAGTAGACCCATTTAGTTTTGCCGATGCCCTGGTACTCTGAGGCCACGTAGTAGAAGCAGGCGTTGAGGTGGAGCATGAAGAGCAGATAACCAATGGTGCGAATCACTCTGACAGAGGAGGAAAGATGTTATCCCTGCGCTCTGTTCCTCTTTGCTTCACCACTATGGCAGCATAATGAACCATCATACAGTAGATTAACACAGAGAGGTTTTGTGAGTATTTGTGCTGAGAAGAACATTAAAGAACAAAAAGAAATTAGAGTCATGTTTTCTGTGGACAATCCAAATCCAGACACAACAGTTTTCACCCAAACTACTTTCTGCTGAGGAAATAGTCCCAGTGAAACCCCCCATCTTTCCACTGGTCCATCCTTCATGGGCTAAGGGCTCTCTATAAATCACTGGCTGCATGAAGTGTGTACAATGACAACAATAATGGTGTTATCATAGGTTCTGACTTCCTGTCATGTGACTCACCTCCAGATGTATGCCTTGGCCATGATGCTCTCCAGACGGTCACTGAACTCAAAGAATGTATCCGCCTTGATGAGAATAATGAGAAGGTCGATGACGAAGCAAACAAAATGACCTCAGTGTGTTTGTAGTGTTGTCGGATTAAAACCTCTCAAAACACATAGTGAATACATGAGTAAATTCACCTTCAGCAGACGATTGGCTCGGAAAACGGATTTGAATCCAAACTGCAAGTACAGCAAGTCGAAAGGTATGAGACATATCATGTCCATCTGTTGACGATAAGAGACAGGATGAGGACGGTAGCTGGCGTTTGTTCACAGTCACCTCCAAAGGTCAAAGAATTTACGTTACAATACCTTGAATCTATCTGACTCCCTGTAGTTCATCTTAGTCATCTCTCTGTCTTTCTGAAAGGGAGAACAGTGAGTTTAGAGGTAAAGGGAAAACAACAAAACTCAACACATGATACAGATCTATAATCATTATTAGTGCTTGAAGAAAATAAAACAATGACACAAGGAGCTTCTCTTTCCTCCTCTTCATCACATATCAGTATCTCATCAATACATGCTACTGACTCCACTTCCTCCCCAGAATTCTTGTGCCTTAGCAGATCACGGATCATGTTACAACTAGATTGCTTGGCTATACAATATCTCTACTAGCATATACTACTGTTACTGACAATACCATTATCATTACAACTGTCACTGCTGCTCCCTTCATCTCTGTCAGACATGTTCTTTTGTATAAATGTTCTTTTCACCACCAGTCCCACTTACTATGATGTCTCCTCCTTTGACGAACTGCTTGCGGGACTGGAAGATGATGGAGTCGGTGAGGTAGATGAGGTCGGCCAGCAGGTCCAGTGCGAACCAGTATGGGATGGCGCTTGCTGTGTGGTACGGGAAGCACTGGCGGGCCGTGATGAACCAGGTGTTGTAGTTGAAGGCCAGGGTCACCAGGCTCAGCCAGGCGATGTAGCGGCGGTCTGTGAAAGGGTCGATGGTGTTCCCCAGCACAGAGTCCATACTGTCCTCAAACGGCTTCAGCACGGTGTCCACAGTGCGCCACGCGGTTTCTTTTATCTTGGTCTTCATGTCCACCTTCTCCAACTTCTTCTCAGCTTCCATCTCTGCCTTTTTTTTCTCCTCCTCCTCCTTCTTCTTCTGCTCATTCTCCTTCTTCTTCTTCTCTGCCTCCTCTTTCTTTTTCTTCTCCGCCTCCTCCTTCTTTATCCGCTCCTCCTCGGCTTGTCTCTTCCGCTCCTCTATGACTTTTGCGTAGTTGTCCTTGCGGAGCAGAGGCGCTGAAAAGAGAGATATTAAGACTGAGTGCAATGTTAAGAATCAGATAACATCTGGTTGGTGCTGTAGAGGAGCTCTACCCGGCCTCCACCCGAATGAGGAAAGCTAGATTGTACTCACTGACAGGGGGGGTGATCTCAGGGGAAGAAGCGTACTGATCCACCACTTTCTCCTTGTACAGCTCCTGTCTCTCCCTCATCAGCTTGATGATGGCGCGGAGCTGATCGTCTGAGTACCTATTGATGACGATGGGCAGGGGCGGAGGAGGGGGCTGCTCCGCTCTGAGGAAAATACAGAACACCACCTACATCAGAAAGATCACAACAACTTTTCATTTGCTTTATAAAGTTATGTAGTGGAGGATGGTTTCTGATGTAACGAGGATGGAGAAACCATCTTTTTGTCTGATGTCAGGCATTAAGGTACGATTCTTACTACTTCACCAATATTTCAAATGTGCAATCGTGTGACAGACTCTGCAGGTCCTGTAATTTGTACGGAGGCCCTGAAGTACAAATCAAAACACAACAATTCACAAAACAGGTTTCGTCTGTCCAATCAGCAGGTATGAACCTGGTTTGCTGTTAAAGATGAATGCCATGTTTTTTTATTTGTCATTGTGTTTCGTTGTTTAATGTGATTTGCTGCTATATTTTGCATTTCAGGGATGCAGTATTTTACGCATTTTTTTGTGTTTTTGCTCATTCCGGAACGTATTTTCTATAAATTCCAATGTGAGCACTGTACAGATCTAAAAGGGAGGATGAATGATTTCAAACTGTTGATGTGACATGATGTGATCTGACCTAAATGCTTTCTACACAGTGAACAGGTGAGCATTTTTATTTACAGTGACACTATTAGAGGTTACTAAAAGTATTGACTTCACCTGATCACCTGATCACTCAAGAAAATGTTGATGCTTTTCCCTGGTGGCATGAATCTATTTAGACAGTAAAGCCAATGTTCATGAATTTAGTAACACTAAAAATGAAACAGAATTAGAAGAATTTGTCCTACAGTTTTCACCAGAGCTGCTTACTGCTGAGAAAAGCTATCAACCTCCCACACATACCTGCCCCTCCACCCCAAACTGCTCCCCCTCCTCACTTATCCCTGCTCAACCCTCCCTTTAGCTGTTTTATTGAGGAGCACCATTAAGCAAAAGCTATGGTGTCATTTTGAGGGTCAAATAAAGACATTCAGACTGTGTAATAAAGACAGCAGGTCTGTGTTTATATGTCACCTTCTAGTGGGCAAACTTTAGCAGTACAGCTGGCTGACGAGAGGAGCCTGGAGTGACTGCACAGATCGCTCCACAGCCAATCTCTATCACATGTCTGAGTCCAGCTCCTAAATCAATTAAAACAGGCTTATTCTAAATTACAACAAGTGACACGGGAAGAGACACGAACCTAAAAGGTGGGTACGTGGGTATTAGAGCTCAATGCTGCTGTTGAACTCAGTGCTGAAAAGTGGGTTTTATTATTATTTATGAATACAAAGTAAAAGGAGTCAAATAATTTTACTCTCTGGTTCTGTGCTGCACTACTTTCTTCTAAATTCATGACCACACATCTTGAAGATTAAAGTTTAGTTTGCAGTATAACTTGTGAGTCAGACACCACGAAAGAAGCCCAATGTGGTCTATTCTGTAATTAGTTAGAAAACCAAATTTGAACAACAAACAAATGACATGTTGATGGTCGCCAGTGCAGGTCATAACTCTGTCACTGGACCAGATTGCTGCTTGTAACATTACACGCGATCTTTATCATCAAGCACTGCATTGTGTTCATCCCAGATAAATGAGGTCTGTTTGTAACATGTCAATAATGAGCTCACACCAGGCTCGCCCTGCTGTGGTGTACAGTACATCACCTGTTACCTCCGCTCTCATGCTATCTATTCCACACCTCACTAAGACTACAGGCGTCGTTTCTAACTGCAGAGCCCCTAGCTCCTACACCCCACCCCCCTTATTTGACACTTACGAAACATTTACATGTTTTTCTCATTTGAAAAAGTGTTTAAGACTGTGACCATCAAATCTCTTGTCACACTTCATCGTTTTTATTGCTGGACCTAAGGTAGCTATGGTGAGCTTCTTAACGCTAAAAAGCTGAAAAGCTTTTAATCCACTTCTGTTCATCCCTCTGTTAACATGCATATAGCACCAGGGGATAAAGATCTCACATGCTGGTTCATCTCTCAGGGTTTCTGTCTCTCTCTGCCATCTTGCCAGGGAATCTGACAGATGATTAATTTGATACTGGTTTGTTGGGTCAGTGTTGTTCCAGGAGTGTTTTGTAGGTTAAATCTGAGAGTATAATACTTTATATCTACTCTCTTTAATTTAATTTACACTTGTGTCCTAGATTTATGCATCCACACAACAGCTCAGGTAGAAAACCACTTGTACAACTGTGTTGTTAAATCAACTGATAACTCTAGAGACCACAAAGGACTTACCCATCAGGTCCAGCTTGATTAGGGTTGGTTGGAGCTGCTGTAGGGCCTGGTGCTGGAGCAGGGGTTGGGGCTGGGGCTGGAGCAGCGGCTGGGGCTGGGGCAGGTGCAGGTGCAGGAGAGGGAGCGGGGGCCGGGGCCGGAGCTGACTCTATGAAAGCACAACAGAAAGATTTTTTAAAATCTCCACCAGACTTTAATTTTATTCAGTGCATCTTATTCTGTAACTTTAGCTACTACATCCAAAGACTTGGTGCCTCGACTCAATTTTTCAACACATTCTAAAGGAAGACTTCAAAATTCAGTTTTCAAAGCCTTCCAGTCCATAATTTGAACATTTTATGTAGTTTTATATTTGATATTTGTTTTGTGTTGTTTTTTCTGACTGTTTTACAGTCGTGCACTTTGTATCTTGTCATTATCTTGAAAAACCTTAGAAATGATCCTGACAGTAGCTGACTTGGCTTTTTCCCCTTTGGGACAAATAAAGTACCTACCTATCTACCTGCCTGAGACAGAAGAAGAGAACTGTCGAGGAGAGAGTAACAAAGACATCACAACCATCAATGTGATGATTTACAATGTCCATGAAGCCAGATGTGCAACAGTCAGGGGATAGCCTGACTTTAGTTAATTTAATGGCTTGGTTGGTATATTTATAGTCTTCACATTCATGCTATCCTGGATGACCCACCTATTGTGCTTGACTCTACAAAACCAAAAGCAACACAGTCAGCAACAAGTCATAGTGATTCAATGAATCTGAT